TACCCATCCTTTCCTCTTAAGAAAAGGTTGGTAAGGGACTAAAATTAGGCCTCCGGCACCACACTCATGAGACGAAACGCGGAATTGCTTTCACTTAAATCGGTCTACCAGGGGACGGTTATGCCGTACTACACACATAAAAAAAATAAAAAAAAAAACAGATGAATTGAGTACCTTTTTTGGGGAAGTAAATACTCTACTGAAATGTCACGTTATAGGCTGTATATTATCACGCTATTTAATTTAAAGAGGTAAATAATTTAGAAAAATATTTTCTTTCATACTTTTGTATGACATTGACAGATGTAGGGATGGGACGATGTATGACAATGATCTAGCGTTGCGCTTACATCGATATCGATTTTTTAATACTGTTATGGAAAAGGTTTTTTAATATAATATGATATTGCAGTTTATTCCGCGAGCATTGTCTGCTGGTGAACGGCAACTACGTGAAGGATCTCAGCATCCTCGGCAGGGATCTGCGTAAGACCGTCATCGTGGATAACAGCCCTCAGGTGAGACGAGAAACATTCATCATACTAATATAAATGTGAACGTTTGGATGGATGGATGAAGGGGTCGGGATGAAATTTGGTATAGATGTAGAAGATAGTCTAGAATAACACAAAGGCTTCGGTTTTTAATAATACCACGCGGACGGAGTTTCGGGCGGAAACTAGTATTGAATACAGTTTTACTTGGCTTATCTAAAAAGCCTTTTGTAGGGTTTTTGGATATTTTCAATATTTGTACAGATTTAACTGGTTTGAGTTGTAACTCGTTATAAATAATTTTGTATTTATTATTAATTAGATGTTGCTTGCGCCTTTGTCCACGTGAAATTAAAAAAATAAACAAAGGCTACTTACTTTACCTATGTGTAGAGATTATCCTCTACATATACCAAATTTCATCGAGATCTATTAAGCCGTTTAGGCTACTAAACTTTTGCATTTATAATATTAGTATGGTCAATAAATCGACTTAACGAGAAAGTAAGGTGTAAAGGTTATGGATGGGCATGTTATGAGGGATGAATAGTATGTAACAAGAAGTACCTTAGTTATGAGTGTGGTACATTGATAGAGGTAGAGGTAGAAAGAGATGGATGTATTGCGTGAAAGGTGACAGCCAAGAAGGGATTGACTGAGATGACGGATGATAGAGTAATTTGGAGGAAAACCTGGTACGCTTACGGGAGTAGGATAAGGTAGGGATGATGTAATAATAGATTGTGTGCGCAGGCTTTCGGCTACCAGCTGGAGAACGGCATCCCCATCGACAGCTGGTTCGTGGACCGCAGCGACAACGAGCTGCTCAAGCTGCTGCCCTTCCTCGAGCACCTCGCCACTGTACGTAACGAATTATAGTAAATATTGCAACATAAATACACATGAACAAAAAATACAAACAAGACTATATAAAAAATAGTTAATTTTTACTTATTAATAACCAAAGCTAATGACAACAAAATTGCAGAGAAAAATGCGTATTATGAAATGCGTATTATTATACTATCAAATGAAAGGCCTTAATTAGTAGTCATTATAAATAATCCAAGATGGCCGACATTACAAAATGTCGGATGTATTGACATTTTCACACGACAAGCCTATGAGTATCAAAAAGGCTTTAATTAATAGAATACTGTACAATACAAATGAACTAAGATGACCGACTTTACAAAATGGCGGAGGACATTTTTGCACAACTAACGCAACATGAGTATCAAATTAAAAACTTTGATTAGTGAAGTGTGGTATATTATAAATAATTTAATATGGCCGCCATTACAAAACACACACTATTTTCACACTTTTAAATGTAGTGTTTTCTAGTATTTGAAAGTTTTTTAATGTTAGAATATATTAAATGACTAGCTTTCGCTCACGACTCCGTCCGTGTGGCATTAAAAAAAAAAGTGAGTAGTCAATGTGTTCTTCCAGACTATCCTCTACATCTATACCAAATTTCATCGAAATCCGTTTTCAAACTCTAACAAACATCCGTTCATCCATCTAAACTTTCGCATTTATAATATTAGTATAATTATTATTATTTACTACATAATATTGGTATTATATTTGCAGAAAGACGACGTGAGGCCGTACATCAGGGACAAGTACAAGCTGTTCAGCTACCTGCCGCCAGACTAGACCTAGCCTCCCACAGTGCACCTTCATTTACCTAATCTTAGGTATATAAGTGGAATTTTTAATGTTTTTCTAGTACTTATCCCAAATAAAAACTTAAATTTTGCAAATATAGGGCCTTATTATAAAAAAACTTCAAATACATTTATTTTATTGTTTACATTTGTCAAATTTTCAATTGCAAATGTTATTACCGTTACCATAACTTTGCTTCCTTAATGTTGGCAGCTTGTAGTTATGGTCCCTTTCCTACATTTTTTTCCAATTTATTTACCCCCTAAGTTTAAGCGTGAAAATATATAGCTTAAAGCATGTCGTAAGTGTAGGGCTTTTTATTAAAGAAAGAATTATTCAAAAATGTCCTGTGATTGCTGACATCTTACGTCACAAAGTAGTGTGTTTACGCTTTATTATAATAGTATAGATTTAAATTTTGACATTTTTAATTGAAAATTTTATTTGAAAATGTTTTTTTTTTATCAAAATATCAATCGGTTAGAGTAAAAAATAGTGTTTTTTTTTGTTAATACAGTATTTAAAAATAATATAAGAAAAAATTTGTTTTGTGGATTTAGCTAAGGAAGTTTTTTTTAGCGGAAAAAAAGGGTCAGTTTGTTTGCAAAATATAAGTTTTTATTTGGAGTTAATTACAAATACATCAAATTTTACTTAATATATAGAAAATTTTCTATAAATGAAATAATTCAAATAATTGTTTTTCTCTGTATTTTAAAATATTCGTAAAGTTACGTCCATTGTAATATTTATTTGCCTAATGTTGGATCGTAATTACCCATGTTATTGTTTATATTTTCATATATAAATAATTGTTTTGATATTGTATTTGTGTTGGATGTTTTAAAGTTTGAAAAATTA